ACTTCGAGAGTTGGTTGCAGTACTGACTAATGTCTAGTTGGTGTTCGGCAAAAATTCCAGATTTTCACCACTCATTATCTCAGCGTAGGGGCATCGTAGGGACATGCGGTTTGTTTTATATGAACAAGGTAGGACAGCTGATCAATAATACTGCAAAGAATCGTCAAAATAAAACGGGGAAAGTTTATTAATTCGACTAATACTGCAACATGGTTTCAGCCTTTTACCGTTGTATGCTCTCCTTCTTATATGCTCTTGATGCAATATATGGGGTTTATTCTATCATGCAACCGCACACAAACTCTCTCTTGCATTTGTGGTTAGTGTAGTTGGAGAATTTCTGCCAAAACTTTCTTTCCGTCAGAAAAGGAGTCAGAATATTCGAGTCATAAAAAAACCTGTGACATGTCACACTCACAGTGACAACACATTGACAACTGTGTGATGCCATATACTCAGCGGGTGACATTTGCGCACCTACACGTGACAATCATTGTGACCACGTGCTCATGAGGACACACCACAGGCTGTGATAAGTGCGACAATGTCTCACGTACTCGTCAGGCTTGCGCGACGACGGCGGCGGCGGTGGCGCCACCTCACTGCTGCTCCACGCCTTCTTCGGTCGCACGTACGTGTTGACGACGCTGGCGCCGGTGGCCGCCGCCACCAGCCGATTGTTGAAGCTCTCGTAAGGACGGATGTACGCCGTCGTCGTGCCGTTGGTAGGGGGCGCCGTGATGCGAGTTGTGTTCGCTGGTACGTTTGTGAGACCATCAATCGTGCGTTCCTCGACGATGACGTCGGTCGTGTGGCCGCCGACAGTGCGGCGTGCGTACTTCTTGCTGGGCGATCTGTAAGCATGGAGGGGTAGCCGTCAATGCAGTTCACAATTATCCAAGAGACAAGCAGATCCATTGCGGGAATATTAAAGCGATCATTTTTCAAATAAACGGAAAAATTAATCTAGAAATTATTACTCGAGTTATTATTATTATTATTTGAGTTCCTGCTGTTATCTAGGACATATTTGTGATTGTATATCTGTTTGTCTGTTTTCAATGCAAATCAATATGAAGCACTCTAGAAAATTAATGTTCAAGGACGATCATTAGGGGTAAATTTTTATGTTGAATGTCATGGGCACATTGGATTTGACCTCCGAGGTCATCTAAGCAAGAAAAACACACGAAAAAACGAAATAAATAAACGGGCCCTTGCAGCAGCATTAAATAAACAGGCCGCTGCAGCAACAGGCTTCAATTCAAAACAGTCCAAACAGGATTCAGCTTGCTGTTACCTTCTTACTTTACTGTTACTAAATTTACAGTAGATAAATAAAAAATAGATAAATAGATAGATAGATAGATAGACACATAGATAGATAGATAAATAGATACATGAATAGATAGATACTGTAAAGTCACTTATTTTCGTGGGTTCCAATTTTCGTGGTTTCAATAAATGAAAGTGTCAATGACACTGTATAGCTCACCTTGAGTGTGATAGAAGAGGGAGGGGGGATATATAAAACAAGAGTATAGATGGGAGAACTCCCATTATATAGTATCCAAGAGCACTTATAGCCTGGCGGCCCGCCAGGCTATCGTCGACCCCCGCCATCCTAAAATGCACCCGCCACTCTAAATATCATAGCCGCCATGCTAAAATTAGCTAAAAAATGCTAAAAAATGCTAAAACTAGGACCGTAAAGGCAGCCCCGCCATGCTATAATGAAAAAGCTTGGAGAACCCTGAGTATATCTCCCATTATATACTCTTGATAATAATATATGCATAAGTTTTGATGCGAAAATAAATGTTTCAGATCTGAAAGTCTGAAATCTTGACGAGAGATGGCGCTACTCCTAAATGATTGCCGTTTTGGTTTTCGAATATCGCGCAAATAAAAACAATAAAATATTTCAGTCAAATTACTGTAACAAAGAATCTAAAACACAATATTACACGTATATAGGTATGATTGTAGAGCTGTTGACCACGTAATAGGACGTTGTCATCTCTCCCATAGGGAGTTTTGGGGCTAGCCTTACACATTCACATACCAAAATCGAATGAATTTAGATGGCCATTTTCATTTTTGCCAAAAAGTGGGCGTGGCTCAAAAGTAGGTCGACTGGCGTGCTCCAAAATAGAAAGTTCAAATCTCTCCCATAGGAGTAACAACTGTATTCAATTTTAAACATGAGGGTTAAACGGTTCTTGAGTTATCGTTGACCGTAGACAGACACTGAAATGCATAGTGAAACTGCCAAAATCTACCTAATTTGCATAATTAAAAAAAAATATCCAAACCCGTGTGATATGTTTTGGGGCCAGTCCTTATTCATTCCCAAACTAGAAATGAGCAAAATCCGTTGAACCTGAATTGACATGGTCATTTCCATTTTTGCCAAAAAGTGGACGTGTCTCGAAAGTAGGTCGACTGGCGTGCCCCAAAATAGGACGTTCAAACCTCTCCCATAGGAGTAACAACTGCATGCAATTTGAAACATGTGAGTCAAACTGTTCTTGAGTTATCGTTGACCGTAGGCAGACACTGAATTGCATAGTGAAATTGCCAAAATCTACCTAATTTGCATAATTAAAAAATAAAATAAAAACCTGTGTGATATGTTTTGGGGCCAGTCCTCATTCATCCACATACCAGAAATGAGCAAAATCCATTGAACCTGAACTGACTTATGGCCATTACCATTTTTGCCAAAAAGTGGATGTGGCTCAAATGTAGGTCGACTGGCGTACTCCAAAATAGGACGTTCAAACCTCTCCCATAGGAGTAACAACTATATGCAATTTGAAACATGTGGGTCAAACGGTTCTTGAGTTATCGTTGATCATAGCCAAATGTTGACGGACGGACGGACGGACGGACGTACGATGGACGACACCCCATGGCAATAGCTCATCTTGACGATGTCAAGGCGAGCTAAAAATACATGTTCTGTGGGTTCTTAAATTCGTGGATAAAGCCTTCCAAGACATTTTTTTTTCTCCAAAAACAATAATGCCAATGAACAGATTACTAACCTGAACTCGAACCTACTTGCCGTTTCTGACGCGTGCACACTTTTTGTGGGCACTTCATATATACTACCTTAGACACCGCATGTTTTTAGTTATCATGTTTTTTTATTATTTAAAAATTGGAGAAGAAAATGATATCGTTTCCATTACCTAGTCACTGAGAAGTATGCTGTAGCATTGTTTAACGTTTCGAAAGGAGCTAACTATAGTGTAAAATGACGCGTCAACATGCAGGTATAAATAGCTATTATGTGACTTGATAATTATTTTACCCGAAAACCTAAAAACCTGCGAGGAAGTAGATTTAAGGAATTTCTAGCAATCTCCCCCAAATTACAACCACAGTGAAAGCATCAACAGCACTGCTGCGGCTGTAATATCTGACCACATGAATATATAGTGTGACCGCATGTGAGGTCTGACATCATCGCCTCCATAAAGCTGGTGGGAACACTTGGATAGAGGTATTGGGTGTGTTTAGGCAGGGTTAGTCTGACAAATGTCAACCATGGACATCAACTGGCCACGGACACCATGGTTTCCACAAAACAAGAGCCGCAGAGCGTCTGGGCTCATCTGAGGTCTGTTGCTACGATTATAAACGTAAAATTTCAGTCGTGCGTAGTACCACATTTGTTAGGCGCAGATATGCAGACACGCAGTTGCGTACACATCATTGTTAGGACACGCCCACTATCGCAGATGGAGGGTAGGGGGAGGGTGGGGAGAGAGGGT